CGGCGGCGCGCGCGCGCGCGCGCGACGGACGCGCGCGCGCATGCCGACGCCCGCGAACGATCGTCGACGGACGATCGATCGACGGAGCGTCCTGGACGCGCGCGCGCTCGCGCGATGGATCGATGGATTGACGACGGATGGGACGGCGGATGGAGACAAGTCGACGCGGCGGGCGCGGGCGGTGGTGCAGCGGTGCGTGCGAGCGGCGAGGGGCGGGGCGATGACGCTGGGAGAGGTGGACATGGACGATGGAACGCTCCCGCGAATCGTCGTGGAGCGTTTGAGGGATGGCACGAGTGGGTTTGAGTTGTACACGACGAGAGTGGCGCACGAGAGCGCGTCGAGCGACGGGTCGACGACGAAATTGATCGTCGAGTTGCAGGATGGACACAAGATAGAGGCGTGCGTGATGCGACACGCCAAGGGGCGGACGACGCTGTGCGTGAGCTCGCAGGTTGGGTGTAAGATGGGGTGCACGTTTTGCGCGACGGGGACGCTCGGAGAGCTCGGAAACTTGGCGTCGTTTGAGATATTGGAGCAGCTCGCGCACGCGAATCGAGTCGCGGCGGTGCGAAATGTGGTGTTCATGGGGATGGGAGAGCCGCTGAATAACTACGATTCGGTGATCGAGGCAATCGGGGTGATGACGGATGACAAGGCGTTCGCGCTGAGCGCGTCGAAGATCACCGTGAGCACCGTCGGGGTGATTCCGAGGATGCGCACGCTCACGCGAGACGCCCCAGGGACGTGCCTGGCGCTCAGTTTGCACGCCCCGACGCAGGAGTTGAGGCAGAAGATCGTGCCCACGGCGACGGCGTACAAATTAGACGACCTCATGCGAGTTTTAGAAGAGTATCTCGCGAGCGGGCCAAAGATGAAAACTATGATCGAGTACTGCGTCCTGGGCGGCGTGAACGACGACGAGACGTGCGCGGAAAAACTGGGCGAACTCTTTCGCGGTAAGGAGGAGAAGATCATCCTTAACCTCATTCCTCTGAATCCCACGGACACTCCGGCTGGCCACGTGCCGCCGACGCCCGAGGCGGTGAGAAAGATGATGGAGATTTTGATGAAGAAGTACGGTTTATTCGTGACGAGGAGGCACACCATGGGTGACGACATCGCGGGAGCGTGCGGGCAGCTGGCGCTGAAAACACCGGGCGATCCAGACATGGAGGACATGATGGCACCGCGAAGGACGACGTCGGCCGCCAAGGTGCGGAGAGCGCCGCCGCGGGAGGAGCGAACGTCGCCGACGCTAGTCGAGGCGTCGCAACCGTCTTCATCGTCGCGCGCGCAAAGAACAGAGTATGCACTCATCGGCGTCTCGGTTTTAAGCGCGGGTATGTTGGCGTACGCCCTGTACTCGCGGCGGCGATAGTAATTAGTAGCACATCGTGACGAAGGGATCGTGACGAAGCTAGTAGCACATCGTGACGAAGTTCTAATAATTCGCGTTGCAAATGCGCGCGCTACGAGTACTACGGACGCGAATTCAATGTAACAGTACATTTCTTGATGATAACGGGTAAAAGTACACTGCGTACACGTATCAACCCATGAGCATTTCTCTGTCCTCTTCGTTGCCGCCGGCGTCGATGACGTCGAGTGCGAATGTGTCTTTCGGGCAGTCTCTCGAACGAGTAGGGACAAAAGTCTTCCCTAAATTGTCCACGGACCACATTGATGCGTTTTCAAAGTGATTTCGCTCAGATGTACGCATATATTCGTTGCAGTTAACGTCTGGAATCCACGCAACCGTATCGTCAAACTTGGTCAGCGTGAGGAAATCAGATCGTACGCAGATCACTTCATCTTGCCTCGGAGGCTCCACTCCGGCGACGACGACGGCGCCAAGAGGGCGGTACTGCGGTGGTGCGATGGGCCACCAAACCGTAAAATTCGAATGATCGCGGTAAACGAGATCATAGCGCGCTGGTGGACTTAAGACGATGCAACCGCCACCGCTGCGCAGGACGACGCTCACTGGTTCTGATGGAGGTTCTTCCGCGTCACCAATGACATGTCCAAAAGCTACGTAACTCGACGACGGAGAGATTGGCGCCCAGAAGCCTTTTTGTCCCACTCGAACCACACACTTCCAGCTCGCACACGGGATAAAGGCGGGCAAACCATCTTCATCTTCAACGAGCTCTTCGTCTCCGGCTTCCAGGCGGACTAAACGACGACGCCTCATCACGTCCTGGATCATGTCTGCCAACAGCTGAGCCTGATCGGTCCCCGGCGTGGTCGGTATGATGCGGGTGATTCGGCGCTTTTCGAAAATTCGCTTCTTCCTGCTGTACTCTTTCAGGTGAAGAACCACATGTGCGGGCGCCTGCGTCTCCACATGAAGTAACTCTGACCAGGAGACGTGCCACTGGGCGAAGTACTTGTCTTCACGCGAGACTCGCGTCAGGGCGACCACGCGTTTGTCCGTGAGGACAACCATCATAGACTTCGCAGCTACTTCCATGCTGTCGAAATATTTATCTTGACTGTAGTACCCTTTACGTGTGAGGACCTCTTCAATGCCAACACCCAATTTACCTCGCTGAGCCGTGCGCAAAGCGTGCTGTGCGTGAGCTGTCCGATGGTTGAACGAACGTAAAATACCGTCCGCGTGTTGAGCTCTAGGTTCACGTACTCGTAATTGTGGCGTTGATGCATTAACGCCGAGCGTTGTCTTCACACCTTCGACGCCGACCGCGATGCCCTCCGCCGCGCGACCGACGGCCGCTAAACCACCGGCGACGGGTTGCGTCACCGCGCCAACTAAACCTTTGCCTACGCCCTTGACGAAACCGAACGCACCGCCTTTTTGCGCGCCTTCTAATGGCTTCCGAATGACCCCAGTGAGACCTCGGTAAACACCCTTTGCGAACATCTCCGTGCCAGTCGCCAAACCAGCTTGGATGGAATCCGCTTTCACAGAGTCGGGGCCGAGCTCTGCTTTGATTGAGCGAGAAAATTTGCTGTCAAGACTCAGCGCCGCGACTCCAGCCGAAGCTTGACCGAAGGCCTGTGATACGGAGTCTAGTACGTCGACGCCTGCGAGGAGCACAAGAGCTTGTCTCGCGACTTGCCGAGTGTAAGAGTCTGAAATCATCGTCCAGAAAGCGCCCTCCAGGATTCTCACATGGTCAACTCGAATCGGATTCAACTGCAGTTGACCGTCGTCAATGTTGACGAACGCCACACCGGAGAAAAATGTAGGTAACGCGTGCTTTGGCCTGGAGTAAAGCGCGGGTCGGAATCTTAGACGCAGAGAAATCGCGCTCACGTGGAAATTTCCAATTTGAATGGGCGCGTTGACAACCGCCAGTCTCTGATCGTCCTTCGTCGATTCTTCAGCTTCAAAAACTTTTAAGAAATCAATGAGTCGCCAAATCAGCGGTTCGTGCACCGCAAATTGGATATCAAGCGGTGTGAATTGCACGTCAACGAACGGATAGGCGCGAAGGCCCAGACTTGCAGATGTCTTTTGCACCATTTTCACTGAGAGGAAGGACATGGAGCGCATCTCGCCCAAAAGTCGCACCACGACCGGGAACATTGAGGATTGGTGCATATCATCAATCTGCAGGCTCTTTATTTCGAGTTTCATGTATTTAATCCCGGCGCCGACGTCCGAAAGATATTCCATGCCGACGTCGCGTGTCGTGGCATTGATAATCTCGCTCCTCAATGAGTCCACGAGCGAGAGGTTGCTTTCAGTGATGTGCAGGTTCATTCGTGACTGGGATGAAGCAGCGAACGAAGAAGCGCGCATAACTTTCGAAATTGTGGAACTTCCGTAAGACTTCACGCGAATTATGCGCATGCCTCTTCTCAAGCGTCGCGTGACGGGAAGGAAATTGAAATACACCGAATCGCCACCATCGATGTCAAGCTTTGTCGTTGTTTTCAATTCAATCTTCGGAACCGGCAAACCGGGTAAGACTTCGTCCTCCAGCAAAGCATCGCCACCGTCAAAGTTGTACAGTCGCTCAAACGAACCTTCGAGCGAGCCTTTATGAAGTACTCGAATGGCGAGTTGTCTCGCATCTTGCGGGCGAGACCAGGCAAAAGGCCTGGCAGACTGAGGTGGACAAATCCTCCACGGCTCGTCTTCTCTCGCCCCAGCCTGCCTAAATGCGATAATATCGACATCACTCGTGTTCTCGACCATTATGTTCGCTTGGAATCGATTCTCTACGGCTAGACTGACCTTTGAAACTCCAATACTCGCGACGTCGACATGCAAGCTCAGTAGCTGAAACTCATCCAGGTGCTCCGAGGTGAAAATGGGAATCTTCATTGAGTCCTTGATCGTCTTGATACCGTACAAGTTAATCGGCGCGGACCACTTGCAGTCCGGTAATTTGAATCGAACCGTACCATCGTCGTTCGCTGTTTGCATCTTTAGAGGAACCACAGTGTCGGTCGGTCTCAGGGTGAACGATGACGTTTCCCTCTGATCAGAGCTTGTAGCCATCAGAACGACACTCCCGGTTTGGTTCGTAATCGTGCATCGTGGTTCGATCAAAATGACCCGCGAACTGTACTGTGCGTACTCGCTATCTTGATTCATTCGAACTGCTAGAGAGTACAGCGATCCGTCCGGACAAGTCGCTCGTACGATGATGGTTCCACGCTGAATATCGCGCTCATCCATCGCCGGCGAGAGATACATTTTCGATCCAGGAGCGGTGTTCGCCACTCCCACCTCAAACATGGTGATTTTGTCGTCTTTGGGCGCCGCTTGGAGGGAGAATTCTCGTAACAGCTGCACGCCACGCGTGGACGTAGGAACGGAAGTTTGCAGAAATTTCACCTTAACTGCATGCGAATCATCTTCTTCCACTGTCGATACATCCACCGTTGAAGTTCTGATGACGAGGTCCACGCCAGATTTATTCACGATAATCAGAGGTGCAGCAAAAACTGTTTCACGTGCTGATTTGGACAGGAACCCAAAGTTGTTACGAACGTTAAGAACCGCCGTTCTGCCATCCACACTTCGTAACGTGATGCTCTCCGCGGTAGAGGACGCACCAGCGTTGCTCTCCGATGAAATGAAAGGAACATCAAAGTTATCCAACGCATTCAAGGCAGCGTCCAGAGTCCCAGTATTACGTAAGGCTTCAGCTGACATGGGCGAAACGGGTAGCAAAAAGTTGGCCGGAATCATTTCTTCATAGCCACCATCGAGCGCGACGCGTATGTAGTACGGCGTCTCTGGATTTACACTGTAGATCGGGAGAGAACCTCCTGGAGTGATGGTGGCGCTGCTGACTGCTTTCACGCTCAGCGGTGCGCCCGTGGTTCCTTGAAATACTGTTATCATCATCGTCCTTGGGCATTGATTCACAACAACGTGTGGTGCAACTACTGAGACTTTCCACTCCATGGCTTCTGGCCTGAGATTGTAGTAACCGTCCTCAAGCATCTCACAATCCTCGAACCCGGTAGCATCTGCGCCTAACTTTGCGCCGACCTCATCGGCTTCGACTTGGATACCAATAAATCGTATCGACCCCGTGGAATCTTTCGCGAAAGCAATTTCTGCACCTTCCATCGCATGAGCGATCATGCACGACCACGCTCGTCGATGTTCATCCTCATCCATTTCAGAACACCACGACGAAGGACCTTGCAATGTCAAGTATCGTAAAAACATTTCGGCTGGTGCATCTGGACCAATCACTGCGGGTATCAATCCAATAGATTCATTCGGCTTAACGATGACTCGTTGCCTGAGCGCGGCGTCGTCGGTCATTGAGAGTGACATAACTGTGTCCGTTATCGGTACGCGTTTTCGAATCCATCGACGCATTCGCACCATGGAAAGTGGACTTTGACGTTGCTCTGCGCGGAACGGGAACTTGAGATCTGGAAGGTTGATGGCGTAAACCCATCCCTCTGCGTCCGTATTTTCGCCGACGTGTACTTCCCATTGACCGTCCCACCGGAATCCCGATGGCAGCAGGCGGCAAGCGTACTCATCGATTGAATGCTTGCTGTCTCCTCCTTGTCCGTTGGACCACGCTTTGCGCTCCGTCGGGAGCAAGTGGTTCGATGAAAACCCAACCATAGGTATTCGTCTTTGATTCTCGTACACTTCTTCGTATATTCGTCGAGATTTTTTCGAGATCAAGCGACCGGGTGCATCGTCTGGGTGCATTCCTGCCGGGCAAACACAAACTTCCAGATCGTGAATGGTTTTGTTCGTAAAGGTAGCCACTGGTTTAAACGCACAAGCGCTCGGTCCCGAAGACTTCGCAATACAGCGTGAAATCTTACCGTCGTGAATTATTTGAGCGGCGTTTGTCGTTTGAGAGTCGATCGATTTCCACGGGCCATTAGGTTTGAACGCGATAGAGATGTCAGGGGCTTGATTGGCCGAATCGCCGTCATCTTGTGCGCGCTCGCGTTTACTATCTATGGTGTGGATCTCAACGCCCACGCGAACTTCGAATGCACCTTCGCCACATGCACGCGGGAGCCGCACGTTACCTTCGCCTATCAGCGCGTCTTTTGATCCGATGAGCAGTTCAGTGAGTGAGCGAAGCGTCATGGAGCGCGTCGCGAGCTTTGCCTTGACGGCTCCAACGGCATGCTCATCTACGATTGTCAACGTAACTAGCACATCCTCAGAGTAATCGCGCCAGTCTCTCTTGGAAGTATGTGATACTCGAGGTATCACGTGGAATGTCTCGTTCCAAGTGACCGATGTGGACGAATTTGCAAGCTTTGACATCTGTGCGCGCGTACGCACTTCCGTAGAACCAAGGTTCTCTTCTGGGAAACGAAATTCCAACCAAACGGCGACCTGGGACATCTCGTTCTCCGTAGAAACATCAGCTGAGACGCATTTGACTGTCATGTACCAATTTGCTCGCGCAGGCGCTCTTTCGCCGCTGTACGCAGACTTGGACAGATTTGCATCCGATGGCAACGTGTACAATGGTACTCGTTTGCTTTTTGTTTTCACCTCGCTCGATTCCCCCGGTTTGAGACAGATGACTTCAGACGAGCCAACGCGCAGGTAAATGTCTTGATCCACTAAAAGATTCTCGTACCGAATCGCATCTTCATCTGCGGCCCGCGGCTGTGAGCTCTTGCTAAAGTTCGCAGCGTCGCCAGCTTGTGACTTCGTCCATCTGAGCAACGACGTAACAAATCCGTGGGAAATTGTCACGTCAAGAGGCGAGACAGTCTTGACACTCACTGCGGTACCCGGCGGCGCGCTCTCATCGCCAGTTGCACTGAATGAAAATTTCAAGTGCGCATTGGTTGAGTCGACGACGGGTTCCCATGCATTGTGCGACGAATTGTAAGACGATACGGCGATGTTAAACATGGTGCTTCCATCCATGTGCGCCGATGTACCATTGACGACGAGCATCGTGTCGGACAAATTAGCGCAGACGAGTGGACACGAGTACGCCTCCTGCTCAAGAAGCACCAGACTCATTCGCGACATGGACATTCTAAGCGAGATACTTGGATCAATTCGCTTCTTTTTGTCCACTTGCGCCTTCAAGTAATCGACAACGGACAACCTTGGTCGATGCATCCGCGAAGGAGCAAACGATCCATTCGCGTAACTAAACAACCCCCAGCGCGGAAGATGCGCGAGTGGTGCGTCTGGATCTGACGACCACAAGGAGTACCTTGCGTATTTAGACGTCCAGATGGCATCCTCAACAAAAATGGCATCGAAAGTCACTTGACTTCGGTCGCTGCATGTCCCATCTCTCGAGACTTCTGTTGCTAAATCTTTTCGAATGCACGCACATTTCGTCAACTCCGGTGGATTCGAGTCGTCCGTAGTAACGACGACACCACACGAAACGTAACCGGGTGGATTGATCGGTTCCCAAATAGCACGCGACGAACGATCACTTGCGGGAAGTGTCCCCAAAAGCATGAATCCAGTTGGATGTGCCGTCGCGTCGCCGTTGCCTTCCACGATCAGTATGCCTGCAGCTGGAGGTTCAGGTCCGACAACGAGGCAATCACCGAGAGACACGTAGCCTTGAGGCGGCGCTGGTCTCCAAATCGATACACACCGGCTGCCAGCTCGCTCCGAGTCCACCCAAACTCGATGACAGTCATAGGTGGTCGTGATGGACAAGCTGCGGCCAGAGCCAAACTCGTCCATCGAATTACTGGTATCGAAATTCTTCACGGCGTGTGCAGACGGCGCAGTGAGCGGATAAGGCTCCGCCAATAACGGTGTTCGCAACTCCAACGGTATTGAAGGACCGGTGCCACCGTCTACGAACGCCTGGAACGTGCGAGATCCGTTGTTCACTTGTCTCAAGAAAGCGGATGATGTAACTTGAGAGAAACATGCCCCGAAGTTTGCACCTCGCGTCACCTCTGAACGTATACAGCGCATGATTTCGACTGCTGGTAAATCTTCACCTGTCGTAACGATACAGCCAAATGCGTAATATCCATCGGGTGGCACAGGGCGCCAAACCGTCGTGGTCGAGTTGCCGCCTTCAAATTTACAGACTTGATCGTACCACAACGGAGGCTTCGTCAAACCTTCAGCGTCCGTGAGTACCGTGACGGGATGAGACGGCGGTTTGCCGTCGAGAGTGACGCAGTCACCAAGAAGCACGAATCCACGTGGAGGTATTGGACGCCAGAAAGATGCTCGACCATCGTGTGCACCAACGCGGACAAACTGCGAGCACTCAAACGTTTGATTGTACAGACCGGTGGATTGAAGAGTAGCGTTGAATCCTTTGGAAAGCGTGAGAAGTCGTTCGATGGACTCCGCGTCCAGCTCAAAGTCGCAATTAGTGGTCCTCAGCATCACTTCCATGTCTTCTTGCTTTGCTTGGAAGCTCCCATCGATATCCATTGGTTTGAGTACGGCACTCGAGTCGACGATTGCTGACGCATTTGCCCACTCACTCACTGATACTTGGAAGTCCGAAAAAGCGAACGCACCCTCTTGATCTGTGCCCTCCGATGCGTACTTGAACTCTGCATCGGTTCGCACGCGAAGCATGTAATCGCTTACACCATGTGAAGCATCTAAAAAGACAACCTCAAGCCCGGGCATTAATGCCTTCATGTGAAAATCGTACGACGAACTTGGCTCAGCGGTGGACTGCTGCTGCGACCGTTCACGATTCTCCCGCACAATCACAATACCGTCGCTTTCTTCTACAAGCAGTTGAGAATCTGGTTCGAGATGCACGAAATCGCACAACTCCGTGCCTATGGGTATGATGATTCGAGCGTTGATCAGACGCAGCGTTCGTCCGGACCCTACGTAGATGAGTGGATCACTGGACACATGGAAAACCAATTCATGCCCTTGCATACATAGCTCTGATTCTACATGTCCTTCGGCAGAGTTGCAAAGGATGCGTTTGGACGCGCATAGCTCCACGTCTTCGGCAAGTTGAACTCGAGACTGCGTACCGAAGTACACGTCTTGTCTCAAACGTGCATTGACAAGACCCGAATCAGATGCATCTTCCGTCTCAGAAAAGAACTTGTAGATCGCCAAACCAAATTGAGGATTGTACATCATCCTACAAGACTGCAAAAGTGCGTTGCAATCGTACGATGTCGCGGTCTTCTTGAAATCAATTCGGAACAGTGTTTTTGACGTATCTGAGCCAAGACTTGACCCGAACGCTTGCTGAGCCGCAAGTGAAGTTCCAGCTCGCACATCCAGGAGCGCAAGGTTCGGACAAATCAACGACATTGATATTTCTTCACTCTTCTTCTTTTGATAGAAGAAGTGCATATTCGCAAGCTCGAATGCTGCCAGTGGCTTACTTCGGTGCCCACGCTCAGTCGCTGCAAACGTCGTTACTCTCAATTTATCAAAATTCAAAGATACGAGCATGTGCGGCGGCACCATTTTATCTCCTTCTGCAAGCTCGGCGGACGCAATTTCAGTGGTTTTGTACAGTGGCTGTGGTACTTCCACAACTTCGGAAAAGTTTTCACACGAAAGAGCATTCAGGAGGTGATACTCGGCATGGTTCAGTTCGATTTCTGTATCCGTCAAGAAGTTAACGATGACCTCGGAGGAGGGAATTTGACTGTGCGCATCCCAAAGCGGTCTACGAGCTAAAACATCAAAGGACGTACCACCAGGGCGAGGTAGCATCGATGTCGCCCGCTTGAAGCGCTCCCATGTGAACGCCTCGCAGTTAATGAATGAAACTTTCGTTGTGTCCAAGAGCACGGCTCCGAGATCCAGATGTGATCTACCACCACTCCATTCAAGTTCGTTGGTAATCTGCAAGGATTCAGCCTCCATGGAGAAAGCTTGATCGGATGAACTGCTTCGCGGAAAGACGATCTCGGGGCGCTTCATTTCGACGACGTACTTCATCGTGAATGGTCTCGGTTCGCCTCTTCGCAATAACTCTGCATTCCTCTCCATCTCTGGTAGCGCACTCACGGGGATCGCTGGAGGCAAGAAAAGGGAGGTGTAACCCAACATTCTCTGTATGAAAGAGTATAAAAAAATGACTCTAACGTTGTGGAATTTGACATGAATGTCGTATTCGTATCCAGGAAAGTCTGAAGAGAGATGATTGTGCATGCTCACGTTTATGAGAGTTTGACTCGTATTTGACGCGCCCGATGACTTCAAATCAAAAACGTTTCGATAAAAGTTATTTTCCGGCAAAAACTGGTTTCCGACGCGGAGATTACCAAATGACATGGAGATCTCGGTAACGTTGAGTCTTGAGCGCATGTCCATTTTCATATCCTCCATTGCGCAATCGAAAAGCGGTGTTAGAACTTTCTCATCGGCTTTTCTTTCTAGGTAAGAAGTCACGATGACAGATCGGAAACACAACACCGTTTGAGAAATGATTCGTTTGGACTCGCCGGCGATCAATGAATCTAGATTTGACGACTGAGATCTGCTCACTTCTGCTTTTGTCGCAGAGAACGCCGCCATGATAATTTGGAGTTCCTCTTTCAGTCGGTTCAACGACCCCACTGTTGGCCTGTTCACTGAAAAGATGACGCTATCTGTGTCCAGTCGAACGATCGAATCCGTATTTTTATACTCTGGCGCGTTCGGACTCAAAATCTTGCAATTTAATCGAATCTTGACGCCATTAGCCTCACGCGTGCTCATGAGACACATCTTTTCAGCCGAACTGCAAAGTTCATCTACAATGTCAATGGTAGAAAATTCCATGTCATATTCATGACTGTGTTCAGTCGATCGCGTATTGATGGTAGCGTTAGTCGCCATGAACGTTACGATCGGTACCTCCGTAGAATCCTTCAAGTTTCTGCTTAGTGCGCGTGCGACGCCACCGTGTTCTAAACCTTGACATGGAACGTCTGCTATTCCCATCGGTTGACCTGAGAGTTGGACGGAGATCTTCCCGAGCTCCATAACGAGGGAAGATTCGACGATAGTTTCGCTATGGGCCTCCTCTTTCGCAGAGCTGACTTCTATGTTCTCACCAGTGTCCACAACCGCTGGCTGCGTCGCTCTCGTTGCCAAAGAGACCTCATTCATGTCTGTCAGCCAGTTCTTCCACCGATCGAACTCTTGCGCGTCCTTGAAACGGAACAACCACGTGTTGTTCGCCTCCGCAGCGCGCGCCTTTGGCGTTTTAGCGTCGTGAATTGCCAGAACAGATGAGAATAACTGATCGTCGACCTGTACGCTAGGCGAACCTGGCGTTGCAGGACCTTCTCCGGCGTCCAGTACGCTCACACGAGAGTTGTAACCAATTCGCACAGTGTCGATGTAGCGATCCGAGTCTGGCTTTTCCAAAATGTACAAGTACGGTCCCTGAACGCAAAGAAATCTGTTTTTATACCCTCGCGATCCTCCTAACATGCCAACTTTCATCGCACGAGCGGCACCGCTCAGCAGTGCTCCGAACCACGGCTTGGGAGTGATGGACAACATGTCGTTTCCTGCATCGCCTCCAACGAGCGCTGCTGATGACTCCTTCGCGGTCGACGCGACTGCCATTGTCGCGTATAACCGGGCAAGCTTTGACGGAGACATGTACATGTTGAACGTATCCATTGTAATTTGCGCTTTTGAACGCGGTCCCGCATCCGGCGTCCAGCCGGCAGCCTTGATGGCGAATTTCATACTCGCATCACACGGAGCGATGAGGGTCTCGCAAACTTCACGCATCTTGGCGGCCGTCGTGCTTTTCCAGTCAAAGTCTGGTGGAGCTAGAAAAACACCCATATCTTTACTGACGACTGTGACCGTTTGATACGCCGGAGCTCCAGTTTTGGCGTGATACGTAACTGTTGGATCTCGAGGATCGGCGCACAGTGTGAAGTGACCGAAATCGATCATGGTCTGAAACAACACTCTTCCGCGTCGCGTCACTGGCACCCGTACCTTTGGCGCGTGGACGTCAAGAGTCACAGCAAAAACTTTCAGCGCAGCCGTCGTAGATTCCTTAGCCGCATCGAGCTGTATTATCGCCTCTTCTTCCAGTGAGGCCAAATTCGATTTCTCGAATTCTTCAGCGTTGAAAAAGTATCTCAGCTCAGCGATCAGTTTACCCTGCATAACCACGTAACAAGGCGCAAGCCTCACGTCGACCTTCGCATCTAGCTCGTGCTCCAAAGGATATGAATGATGCTGAACTTCGAGAGCGTACTTACGCAGCGTCGCGCCCATCCCGCTCGACAACACACACTCATCCTCGGTATCGCACGTCCAACCATCTATGCTGAAGGAAGCGGTCGATTTATTTTTATACGACTTGGACGTGATGCGTGTTCCTAGCATGGTAGATTTAATGACGATTCTCTCGTCTTTGCCATCCTTGGTGCGTTCCTTGAGATCCACTGTGAGTTTATTCAGTGTTCCTCTAAATTCCATGCCGAGCTCACGTGGATCAAAATCCTCTTCCTCGCCTCCAGCTATCAGCTCTTCCAACTTGTTCCAATCGTCACTGGACTTTTCAAGAAAGCCACTGGCGTTTTCGCGAAGACGCTTTGATGAAGATGACCACATCCACGACAGGTAGCCAGCTTTTCCTGATTCCTCCTTCTGCAGGGCGTCGAGCACGTCTTTCCTCGCTCTCTGCGCGATCGACGCCGGACGACCGCTGTTATCCATGATCTTCGTCTGGTTGTGCGCGATGCATCGCCACGCGAGAGCGACCTCGAAATCGAGCGTTCGTTCAATGTCCTCAATTCCTTGCAGAAAATCGGGATTGTACGCGCCTCCCTCCGTGACGTACATAGCGAGATACATGCGGCGTTTACGTCCGGCTTCTTTGATTGCGCTCCACTGGAACATACCCGAAACGTTCTTCTTTCTCGAAACGATGGCAGACACCGCGTACGCCCACCATGCGCGCGGATCCACGTTCACGCCTTCGCTCTCAGGACGGAGCTGGGCGTGCGGCAGACGCAGCCGATATTGGTTCACAACCTCCGCAAGGCGCACCATACTGTGATATTGCTCGCGACTCATTCCAACGTGCGCGTGCTCAAAGTTCAGCACGCACTTTTGTCTCGGTTCGTTCGCCTCGGTCTGCTCCCTCTTCGCTTTGCGATGGTAAAACAGTTCAATCGTCGCCGGGTGCAACATGTATTGCCGCAACTCCCTCGCGCGCTGCGCCTCGGGGCTCTTCCCGATCCCGAACAACGCTCGCCACGCCTCGGCGTCACGTATGTCTGGCGGTGTCCAATTCGGCGACTCTTTCCACATCTTCGCCTCGGTCCCCGCGTCCAGGTACCACGAGAAGTCTTCCAACGCCGCGCGTTTACTGATTCTCTCCAACGCTCCCCCTGTGGTGAACGTCGGGTTCCCCTCATCGTCGACCGTGATCGCACTCAAGCTTCCAACCATCATCCCGCACGCGAACGGATGTCCGGGTGTCGTAATCGTGTCCTCGTATCGCACGTGCACGTTGGTCACCTTGATTTGCAAATTCCCCAGCACCGTCGTCAGCGTCCGCCAGTACCACGAGTTCCCTCTCTTCTTCTCCTCCACCGCCGACTTAGACATCATTCCAAAGCGCGCTCGCAACCAATCCGCCTCACCCTCTCGCAGTTTCCTCCCTCGTTCGTTCTCCAGATCTTTCATTCGCGTCTCCGCCGCCGCTCTCGCCGCGCTCGCCGCCTCTCGTCCATCCCGACGACTCGCCAGCGCGCACACGCCGTCGATCTCCACTCGCACCGCCTCTTTCCCTAGATTCGTCCACGGCACGCGCACTCGTATCGACCGCGCGACGCCGGCGTCGACCACGATCGGTGCTCCCAGAAGTTCCAACGCGGATGCTTTGAGCTGCACGTCGTGCAGCTCGACGTCGCCCGCCCACGCGGACACGCGCACGCGCTCGGCGTCTATGCCCACGCAGTAGCGACCGAGCGCCGCGTTCAGGGCGTCCGCGAGCAGGGACTCGAACATCGCGCGCGCCGAGAGCGACGCGTTCGCGCGCGAGTGGCGTAACGGTTTCGCGACAGGGTGCGAGGACTGGAGAGTTTTTACAGGAGTTTGGGTTCGAACGAAGACGCGCGCGGCGGTTCGGTCGGCGACGACGGCCGCGGTGTGATTACAATAAATCTACGTCGACGATTGGTCGATGGAATCGAAGACGATGGATCATCTGTCGAGACCCATGTCGCGCTTGAGCTCGGCGAGCATGTCGTCGACGGTTTGAGACTTTACCGATTCGGCGCTCGCGCGCTTGGGTCCGGGTCCGGGTTCGGGTGGGTCCGAGGGAGGTTTTCCCTTACGCGCCGCGTTCTCCACCGCGGGCGCGGCGCTCTCGAGAAAATCGACGAATTCTTCGCCGATGTCGTACAGCTCTTCCCATAACGATTTGGGCGCCGCGTCTCGCGGACGCTTCGCCTCTCGCCTCTCTAAATCCTTCTCTAAATCGGCGAAGAACTCTGCGAACCCGTAGAACGGTTCCTCGTCCTTCGGTTTCACTCGTCGTCCATCGTACCCACCGTTCGATCGTCCGTTCGTCGCGCTGCGTCCGCTCGCGCTTCGTCCGCTCGTTCCGCTCGCGCGTTCGCGCGTCCGCGTCCCGTTTCCATCCATGAGCGTCTGGTACGCCTCCTTCACCTCGTTAAACCGCTTCGTCGCGTCGGGCGCCTTATTCACATCCGGGTGCAGCTCGAGCGCTTTCTTTCTGTACGCGCTCTTGATTTCCTTCGCGGTCGCGGTGCGAGAGACGCCGAGCAAGACGTACGGGTCGGTCGCGCTCGAAGCGAAAACGCGCGGTTTGCCGAGCGCCGCCGACGTCGTTCGAGCGCGCACGCGTCCACGACGACGGCACGCGTGGTCATCGATGACGCGATGCGTCGAGAACGCGACGCGCGCTCGCGTGAGGGACATGATGCGTCGCGCAGTGAGGACGCGACGCGGGACGCGCGCGCGAATCGAACGCCGCGTTCATCCGAGGTGAAAGATGCGCGCTGAAGTCACACGCACGCGCGACGAGTCTACTCACGCGTTCGGATCGCTCGCGCGAATGTCTCGCTCGGCGATCGCGATCGCCTCGGCGAGTTCGTCCTTCGAACACTTGGCGAAGAGCGACGCCGGGTACACCGCGCTCCCCCACTTCGGGTGCAGAACCACCTTGCAGCACCCGGAGTTGGTGGTTTGATAATTTAACAGCGTTACCAACGCGTCGACCTCGCCGTAGATGTGTTGGGACTCGCGATTGATCATCGATAATCCGCTGCACGGGTCGATGTAATCGCACCAGCGTCCGCGCTTCTTGAGTTCATCCGTCACCCTCTTCGCGAAGTCGATGAACCGTTCGAGGCAAAAATCCTTCTCCACGTCCACCTCGTCTCCCGTTCGCACCAGATCCATCTTCGTTCGCTGCGTCGTCGTAGCGTTTCGCGCGTCGTCAGTCGCGTTTCTACGCCCCTCGCCCGTCGATCGTTCGGTCCTCACGCGCGCACCTGACACGTCGGCACCACGAGCAGGCCATCAGCTCCAACGCCCGGGAACATCGCCTCCGCCTCCGCCTTGTGTCGCTTCGGGCACTCTGCGCGCGAGCGCGACGTGCGCGCGGCGTCAGTCGTTCGATTCCTCGTAACCGTCTCATCGTCGTCTCATCGCTCGCGCTTCGTCCGCGCGCGCTCGCGCTCGCGCGCGCCGTCGCACCGTGCGCCGAGTACTCCATCCCCCACACCGTGGTCGTCACCTCGATCGCGGGCGCCATCGCGGGGCGAGACGCGCGTTCGTTTTCGACCGAGCGTCGAGCACTGCGACGGGCGCCGTCACTTCGATGCGCGTCGACGGCGCGCGCGACGGCACGATCATGTTGCGCGCGATCGCGCGGAGGGTGGGCAGTGGGTCCAGGGCGTCGTGCTCGCGCGGCGGTTCGACGGCGTCCAGGATGCGAGCGGTGGGCGATCGCGATGTGATGTGTTTTGATTTTGAGAGACAGCCGTGGGGAAAAGGGCGCGCGCGCGCGCACGCGGCGTCGATCGCGTCGCGAGAGCGGGTGCGCGCGCACGCACGGGGTCACGCTGGATTAGCGCGCGCGAGCGAGGTGACGGCGAGAGAAATGGACGCGCGTGAGGGCGGATTCGATGTTGATTTTTGGTGGACGCAGATTCAAAACTTCAACGCGAGCGCGAAACCGTCGACGCGCGGGATGATCAAACGGCTCGATCGGAACGATCCGTTGGGCGTGGATCTAGGATTGAGAGGCGCGAGCACGCGTGGGGTAGTTCGCGAGGGATCGACGAAGCGTTTGACGCTGTATGATTACGCGTTGTTGGTGAAGCGGGCGCACCCGCGCAAGGTGAGTCTGATTCGCGTCGGGGAGTTCTACGAGTGCTTGGGGTACGACGCGGTGATGCTGGTGATGTACGCCGGGTTGAATCCGATGGGAATATCGGGCGTGCCAAAGGCTGGGTGTCCCGCGGTGAAGATTCAGGAGACGCTGGATCGGCTCACCAGTCGCGGGTTCTCGTGCGTCGTGTGCGAGGAGGCGCCGACGATGAACAAGTACGGACAACCGCCGCCGCCGAAGGATAGGTACATCGCGGCGATCGTGACCCCGGCAAGTCCAAACTACGTGAAAGGCGCGGCATCGATGGGGGAGGACGTGGATTTTGGCGACGGGGGCGCGCCTCCTGTTATCGGTCTAGCGAGTTCCGCTCTGGGATACACGGTCGTTCAAATCGAGCCCGATTTGCGACGAGTCAGCGTGCTTGAAGGATTGACCGCGGAGGCAGCCGCGGCAAAGCTCTCATCGGGAGGGATTGCGCCTCCGCTGTACAGGCACGAAAGTCTGGGAAGCGGTCACGCGCAGAGTGGTCGAAACGCCGCCGGGACGAGCGCGCCGAGTCGCCGCCTGCGATGGGAGGTGCAATCCATCTTGTCCGCCGCCGAAGGTGTGGACGCAGTGAAATATTCGGGCGATGTCGTGGATAAATTGTTAGATTTAGTGCGCCTCGACCACGGAATCAGCCCCAATCAGATGTTTACCCGCGTAAACGTCGAGAACAACGGTCGTCCGGCGCCACTGTCGCTGTCGACTGCGCAACAGCTCGGGATATTGCCCACGCGGTCAGTCCCTCCGCTGCTGACGCACCTTTTACCAGAGCGTTCCGTACCTGCGGCTTGCCGCTCGTATCTCCAGGAACTTCTGCTTCACCCACCGCCGCCGGAAACAGCTATGTCGATTCAGGAGGCATGCACTTTATTTATGAAAACAACCTCAGCGATGCCCCAACTGGAGGTTTTACCTCCGAGCAAAGTGGCAAAGTTATTGAGTCAGCGCGAGGCGAGTCATACGTTCTTCGCGGATCTGGCTTCGATGGCGCGAGGCGTGAGCGCTTTGCTCACGCATCAAGACGAGAACATGCGACGTGCCGGGGATCTGATGATCGATCCCACGTCTCTGAAGCTCGGTTCTAAGCTCACCGGCGACATCCTTGCGAAGTCATGCATTGAGGCGACGTCGATGATCGAAGCGGTGATTTCGGATGACGTACTTAACGGGGCGTTGATCTTGCGCGATAAGATAGACGACCGCGACGACGATGATGGCGATAGCGACGATCGTGACGACTCAGCGTTCATCATGGAGGGAACGGACCAACCGCTCAAACTCGAAAATATTCCAAACCGGTTCACGTTTGAAAATGAGCGATGGCGCGGTCGAGTTCGACAAGAACACATCTCCGAGGCGCTAGAAAAGGTTGAGAAGACGGCGCGTAAGCTTGAGAAGGTCGTGAAAGAAGACCTCATCCCGGTGATTGAAGAAGTCTCTGCCGAACGCAAGGGTAAGGCGAAGAAATGCGAATTGGAGTATGACATGCGAAACAACTCCTTGTGGGTTCGTCATATTCCGAAGAGCGTGAAAAGATGTGATTCGCTTATCCATCCTCGGGATCGATTTGGGAAGGAGGTCGCAGACAGATGGTCGACCGAGCGCGTCGAAGATGCCTTGGACGATTATCGTGTCGCAACGCAAAGGGCGGCAAAGGCGGTGTCCGATACACTTGCCAACCTTGCAGAGGATTTACAGGAACACATCTCATCGCTCGTCGGCGCGGCGACGCTTTCAACCGTGACGACGGCGATTTTGGCTCACGCGAGCAATGCGATTAACAAACGTTGGTCGTGCCCCACGCTTCTTCCTGAGGGTGACACCGCGAGTCCTCTAAGCGTTGAGGGTTTGGTACCGTTTTGGATGCGTATGGACGGCGCCGAGACGGTCCCTAACACGTTCGACTTAGAAGGATTGGTTTTACTTACGGGTCCAAACATGGCAGGCAAAAGCACGGTACTGCGATCGGTCGCGGCGCTCGCGCTACTCGCGCAGTGCGGACTTCACGTTCCAGCAATCTCTGCGCAGGTGCCTCGTTTAGACTCTCTCATCGTCCGCATGGCGAGCACGGACTCGCCGGTGGAGGGGTTGAGTTCGTTCGCGGTGGAAATGCTCGAAATAAAATCCATGCTCAGCTCGTGTTCGGCGAGGAGTTTAATCATGGTCGATGAACTCGGGAGAGGCACAGAGGCGTCGCATGGTACTGCGATAGGTGGTGCGGTCGTAGAAGCCTTGGATGAGTGCGGCGCTCGAGGCATCTTTGCGACGCATCTCCACGGGATTTTAGACTTGCCGCTTCGCGTATCGCCGTACACACAACGGGCGCGGATGGAGACGGCACACACAGAGGATGGAATTTTGCGACCAACGTGGCGAATGATACCGGGCGAGTGCCGAGAGTCATTGGCATTACAAACTGCACTCGACTGCGGTATACCGCGCTCTGTCGTCGCTCGGGCTAACGTGCTTCTCATGGAAGAGGCAAAGTTGCCGCTCATAGGATCGAGCATCGTCGCGTCCACCATGAGCGGTTTGACGAATGAAGACACCAATGCGCGAAATGGCGGTGACGTCAACGCGCTGAAGAGCATTCTCGCCGACGCCGCGACGAAGGCGTTCCAAATGGATGACGTCGATGTAATTTCTGTGGGTCCGAACGAGATGCCGCCGTTGAGTTCCGCCGGGCAGACGTGCGTCTACATCCTTCGCCGGGGCGACGGTTGGTGTTATTGCGGCGAGAGCGACCACTTGCCGACGCGACTCACGTCGCACAGACAGAGCACCGTGCGACTCATTGAGCTCGTCTACGTTGCCGTGCCGAAGGAAGCTGGTGGTAAGAGTGCCGCTCGCTCGCTCGAATCGCGAGTCATTCAAGCCTTGAATCTCGCGCGCGTGCCGCTCTGGAGCGATCAAGATGCTTCGCATAAGAATTTCGGCGCAGCTTCGTCGTCGGGGTAATTTATTACTGATATTCTGATGTCGTCAAAATGCGTGCTTTCTTTATCCTTACAGTCTCATTCCGTTGCCGATAACGAATCGCTCAATTCTCTTTTCCAAGGGAAACGTTGGTACAACCTTAAAGCCGGTGAATGTGATAAATTTTTCGTTGAGCCATTTACCGAAACGGCGAAATAGGTCACCTTTTCGATGACTCAGCAGTCTCTCGATTTCCGACCCGTCGCCTTGTTGATACTGAAGAAGAAAGGAGGCGCTTCCGTGCGACGCTGATGTTCGTTGTGTATCTCGCGTATCTTGTGTGTCTCGCGTCGGACTCTGCACCGCTCGAGTGGCCGCTCTGGCTACTTGCAACTTGTCAAATGACTTTGCAGCCAATAATACGTTCGTGGAGTCACGAAACTTGTCGCGAATCGACTCGGTGCGCGTCGCCAGGCTCGGGTCAACCATGGGTGCCCCGTCCGCCGATGGCGTGCTATCAGAGTCTCTCACCGCAGAATCGTCGCTCCCCTTGGAACCGAACAGTTCACCGTACGACGCAAATTTTCGCGTCACTTCGTCTCGAGAGCCGATCGTGTCCGCGCGCGACGCCATCTTCGCTCGCTCGGACACCGCCGAACTCCAAGGTGCAGACTTGGGATTCAGCGCCTTCGCTCCCGACCAACTCTGTACCGCGGGCGACGCGCTCTCGCCGATGACCCCGCTCTCTTCCAACGTCACCGGGACATCCTTAAACTTTATCTCCGTACTCGCCGTCTTCGTCGTCGTCCGCGTCGCGTTCCTCGCGCCCAGCGTCACGAATTCATATTCAGCCGCCGTCCGCGAGGGTTCGAACCGTTCACGCGTGACCCCTAAATTCGTCACCTCCTTCCTCCCGTCGTCGCTCGGCGCCTTCACCCGCGACATCACCTCCTTCGTCGTCGTCGTCGTCGTCACCGCGCCCGCGTATCCGTATCGCCGTCTCGCCCGTTCGAGCGACATTTCTTTCGAATCATTCGTAGAATCCACCGGTGTCACCCCCTCCGTGCGTTCGACTCGATTCCGTCGCCCTCGCCGCGCGCCGCGGCCGATGTCGTAGCTCAGCACATCGCTCACGTCTTCGAACCGTCGTTTCGACGCCTCGCTCGACCGCGAGTCCGTCGCGCTCGTTCGAATCGTCGCCATCGTCGACGCGCGGTGACGATCGCGATCGCCGCCCGCGCGATCGCGACCGGTCCTTTTTCAAAGGCACCGCGCGCGTCCACCGGTCGCGTCACCTTTCGACCGATCGCGGTACCTTTGAACATCCCACCGGTCGACGATCGTGGACACCGCGGCGCGGCGCGCGCGCGTTCGCGGCGTCGCGCGATGCCGTGCGATGCCCTGCGCGAGGTGCTCGACGCCGGGGCGTCGACGGGGCGCGCGCGCGGCGTCGCGGCGACGTGGTGGGCGGCGTTGACGGAAGCGCACGACGAGGAGACGCTGCGAACGGTGGACGAGACGTGCGCGCGCGCGCTGGGAGGGGAAACGAGCGATGGCGACGACGTCGAGGCGTGCGCGGAGTCGGTGTGGGCGTGCGCGTTCGTGTTGGGGTCGGAGACGTGGGCGGAGGTGGGGCGGACGCGCGAGGCGGTGCGCGAGGCGAGGCGGCGGAGACGCGGCGCGGGCGACGACGGAGAGGTCGACGACGGCGAAACGGTCGAGGTGGAGACGGAGCGCGCGGTGGAGGTTGACGGTGGACGATGTGTTCGAGTTGGAAGGACGAAAGAGTCGAGTTTGCACGCGAGCGTTTCGGGCGCGCTGCGGCGCGAACGGGACGCGCGGATGAAGGAGTTAGAGACGCGGAGGCGACCGACGGACGAGAACGTCGTTCGTTCGTGCGTGATCGCAGCGTTCGTGGACGCGTTCGAAGACGAGGATGCGTTGGAGTACGTCGCCGGGATCGTCGCCTCCGACGTTGAGGAGGTGGAAGGTTCTTTCGAGGACGCGCTCGGCGCCGTAATCGACGCATACGATTTGAGCGTGCGCGTCGAAGACGTGTGTGCGCGACTGCGCGCGGCTTTGGACGAGCGAGCCTCGGTGGAGATTCGACGAACGGTGGCCGTGACGTCGAGCGGAGAAGACGGCGTGCGACGACTCGCGAGCGTGGTGAAAATTGGTGGCGACGTGTCTAGGCGTCAAAATCGCGATAGCTCAGACGCCGCGGCCAGTCTCGTCGGTGGAAGTGGCTTTTGGGAGCAAGAGCAACGGAAGAAACAACTCGAGGAAGAGGAACGCATGTCCGCGGTGGCTCAGGCGAATATCGATGCTGTGGAATTGAAGCGGCGAAAGCGCGAAGAAAAAGCCGCCAAGGCTCGACTCAAGGCGCGCGAGGCGCAGTTGGAGGAAGAGATTCGAAACATGGAGCAACTCGCGATCGACGCCGCGTACTCAAAGGGAGCGTCGAGTAAACTCGGTTCGCGGGATATCAGCGTCGCCGAGTTCAGCATGCCGCATCCGCGCGGTGGCGATGATTTGCTTGAAGGGACTTCGCTCAGCCTCACGCACGGTCGACGGTACGGTTTGGTGGGGCGCAACGGATGCGGGAAGAGCACGTTGCTTCGACTACTCGCGCGAAAGCGCGTCCCAGGTGTGCCGGCGGATCTAAGGATCATGTACGTTGCGCAGGACTCCAGCGACGATTTGTCCATGTGCGACTCAACAGCGATCGAAGTTTTGGTAAAGTCAGATACGCGCAGAGAAATCTTAACAAAGCAGCTCAAAGACTTACAAGAACACGACGAGGCTTCGGTGGATTTGGCGATCGAGAAGCGAATTCGTAATATTTGCGAAGAACTCAAAGCCATCGGTGCCACGGACGCTGAAGAGCGCGCGCGGAGAATTCTTCGCGGATTACAATTTGACGCAAAGCAAATGCATCGTCCGGTGAACGCGCTCTCTGGCGGATGGCGCATGCGCGTGTCACTCGCTCGTGCGCTCTTCGTCAATCCAGACTGCCTGTTACTCGACGAACCGACCAATCACTTGGATTTGGAGGCGTGCCTCTGGCTCGAGCAGTACCTTTGTGGCGCTTTCGACGGTCGAACGCTCGTCGTTGTCTCGCACGACCGCTCGTTTCTGGACACCGTGTGTACAGACGTCATATGCATAATGAATAAAAAGGTCACGGCGTACGCGGGAAGTTACTCCACTTACGAAGCCGTGCGCGATGAACAAAATGCACGTCAGCAAAAACTGTTTGAAGAGCAGCAGGCGAAGAAGAAGCAAATGCAAAAGTTTGTCGACAAGCATCTGCACAAAGGGACTTCGAGCATGTTTGACGACGGGAATGCGAAGAAGGCAAAGGAGATGGCAAAGAAGATGGAACGAATGGGAGCGCTCGGTAACGACGGCAAAAAGTGGAAGCTGTCCTACGATGGTGCGCAGAAAGAGCTCACAGCGCCCGAGATTGAAACCGGACAGTTCCGTTTCACGTTTCCCGATCCCGGGATGCCGCTAGGACCGAACGAGTGCGTGCAGTTTCGCGACGTCCGTTTCGAATACGACGGAGAAGACGCGAAGACGCTATTCTCTGGACTCTCAATGCCCTTCGATCTCACCACTCGCATCGCTTTGGTCGGTCGAAACGGCGCTGGTAAGTCTACGTTGATGAAGCTCATCACTGGCGCGCTCGAGCCGACATCCGGGAACGTCTTTCGAAGCGGTAAGCTTCGAGTGGCCTACGTCACGCAGCATCACGTCGATCAGCTGGATTTATCCATGACAGCGCTGGAGTACGCTCTGCACATCGGTGGTCACACTCGACCGTCGCCCGAGCACGAGCAAGACGCGCGTCGCCGACTTGGGAGACTGGGCATTTCAGGGTCTCTGCAGACACAAACCATCGCGTCGCTCTCCGGCGGTCAACGCTCGCGCGTCGCCTGGGCCGTCGCGAGCTGGGAGGACCCGCATCTCCTCCTCCTCGACGAACCAACGAATCACTTGGATTATGAGTCCGTGAACGCCCTCGCCGAGGCCGTGAACGCCTTCCCCGGCGGCGTCGTCTTCGTCTCCCACGACGAGTACTTCATCAAATGTATCGAAAAGTGCGAGACCTTGGAGGTCACCGGCGACGCCGATCCGGGCGTCATTCGTCACGCCGACGACTTCGACGCGTACAAGCGCAAGGCTATCCGCGCCCTCAGACGCTGGACGTAGCACTAACAGGACGTAGCACTAGGTTTAGATGACGATAGCGTAGACATTCTTTCCCGCGCTCCCTCCGTCCACGCGTCGACGCCCTTTGCAGGTTTTAGGGCGTTGGCACGATCGCGCGCGCAGTCCACCGCACCTCGCGCCGCGCCCCCCCCGACGTCGCGCGCGACGTCACGTGCGATGTCCGGTCCATCGTCCGACGAGCTCGTGGTCAGGGATGGCTACTTCTTCGGTCGCTCGTGCGCGTGCGCGCCGCCGACGCCCTGGTGGCGTCCAGAAACGAAATGCGCATCCGACGACGAAACGCTCCGCCGTGGACCGCGTTTGCTGAACACGTTCACGAAGACCAAGGTCCCGTTCGTCCCACTGAGTGGGAACAGCGTGGGGTGGTACATCTGCGGACCGACGGTGTACGACAGCGCGCACGTGGGACACGCGAGGAATTACGTGAATTTCGACGTGTTGAGACGCGTCATGTCGGAGTACTTTGGGTACGACGTGCGATTCGTGATGAACGTGACGGACATCGACGATAAGATTATAATGCGTGCGCATACCAGGAGGGCGCAGGATGTCGTTGAGAGCGCGAGACGATTGGGCGCGAAGGCGAGCGCTGAGACGATTGCCGCGGCGGCGGAGACGGAGACGCTCCTGGCGGAGGGCGGGAAGCCGCTGGGTAAGTTGGACGAACTCACGCGTGGGCTGGTGGAGCGCGTCAGAGTGGACGCGAAGGGAGCGCTCGCGAGCGATGACGCGTGCGCGAGGGATTGGAAGATTCAGGATGGGTACCTGGAGCTCGCGCGCGAGTTTGAGGCAGAGTTCATGGAGGACATGAAATCGCTCGGCATCGCGCGACCGGACGCGCTCACCAGGGTCTCGGAGTACGTGGACAAGGTCATATTGTACATCCAGGTGATTATCAACAAGGGTTTTGCGTACGAGTCCAACAATAGCGTGTACTTTGACGTCAAGGCATTTGAGGAGGCGGAGAATCACAAGTACGGTAAGCTCAATAAGAATGCGATGGCGAACGTCGAGGAGGCGATGGACGGCGAAGGCGCGCTAGCCGCTGAAAAGAGCGAGAAGAGGAGCGAATTCGACTTTGTTCTCTGGAAGGCGAGCAAGTCGGGTGAGCCTTCATGGAGCTCGCCTTGGGGCATGGGCCGACCGGGTTGGCACATAGAGTGCTCCGCCATGTGCAGCGATGTCCTCGGCAAATCAGTCGATATCAACGGCGGCGGGATCGATTTGAATTTTCCCCACCACGAGAATCAGCTCGCGCAATCAGAAGCTCACTACGACATCGAACAGTGGGTGAACTTTTTCATTCACACCGGTCACTTGCACATCGACGGATTGAAGATGAGCAAGAGTCTGAAAAACTTCATCACCATTCGTGCCGCGTTGAAGATGTATTCCGCGCGTCAGATTCGGTTTTTGTTCCTTCTCAACCAGTGGTGTGATCCGATGGAGCTCACCCCGGTGGCCGCCGCCGACGGTTCCGGCGTCACCGGCTTCAAGCAGATGGAGATGGCGCTGAACATTGAGAAACAATTCACGGAGTTCTTCCACTCCGTGAAGGGCTCTCTTCGTGAATCGGGTAGCTACGTCGTCCAAAAGGATCAAATGTGGGATGGACACGAGCGTAATCTTAGCGATGCTCTGGACACCGCGCAAGCCGCCGTACACGAGGCGTTGATGGATAACATCAACACTCCGAATACGCTTCTGGCTTTGCAAGATCTCGTGAAGGCGACGAACCAATACCTCTCGATGACGTTAACAGACACTCGTCCCCTCCTCGTTGAGCGTGTGGCCAAGTACGTGACGAAAATTTTGAGCTGCTTGGGCGTGTGTTTGGACGTGGAATCGATCGGATTCCCCGAATCCACCGAGGGCTCGTCCGAGGGCCGCGAACAAGTGCTCTCGCCGTTCCTCGATTTGATCACCAAATTCCGCGACGATATTCGCAAGCTCGCGCAGGATGGGGCCTCGAAGCAAGACATTCTCGCCGCATGCGACGCTGTGCGCGATGTCTCTCTTCCCGAACTCGGCGTCAAGGTCGACGACAGAGAAGGAGGTGCGCTTTGGAAGCTGTATGACGCAGAGGAGTTGAAGAAGGAGATAGCTCGAGAGCGCGAGGCCAAGGAGGAGAAGGAGCGCGCCAAGGCTGCGGCCAAGGACGAGGCTGCGCGAAAAGCCGCAGAGAAAGAAGCCAAGGCGAAGGTTCCTCCGAGCGAGATGTTCAAGACGTTCGAAGAGTATGCCGGCTTGTACTCTAAGTTTGGTGACGACGGAGTCCCGACCCACGACGCCGAAGGAGAGCCGTTGCAAAAGAGCGCCCTGAAGAAGCTCGCCAAGGCGCGAGGCATGCAAGAAAAGGCGCACGACCAATACCTCGCCAAACAAGGCATTGAAAAACTGTCTGTGTGATCACACGAACCCACCAGCCCGAACGCGACCTTCCATTATTTTGTGATGTTGACAAGCATAACAATTCTGCAAACATGTTTCTTTCGATCAATTACAACGACGAGATGCGGCCAAGGCGGCTGAAATGTGGTTCGCCAACGATTTGTTTTCGAGTGGCGAAAAGAAGACCACCGCGTCGACGGCGGCTGATTTAGATAGCGACGACGACGAAGAGGAGCCACCGAAAGCAAAACCCATAACGAACAAAAAGAAGAAGGCGGCGAAGACCAAGGCGGCGGTTGAAGACGCCGAAGAGGAAAACTTTGACGATCTTCGCGCCAAGGCAAAGGCGACCAAGGCTAAGGAGGAAGCCAAGACGAAAAAGAGCAAGGTCGCCAAGGGATCTGTCAAGCGAGACGATACGTACGACGACGTCTCCGACGATGAGCGTCCTCTTAAAGGGAAATCTGGCGCGGACGATCTGGAGGTTGTCCCCGAAGATGCGCCCGATTCGGGGAGCGACTCTGACGGGAGCAAGTACGGTTACGATTCCGAAGTCGACGAGCTTTCTGACGACACTCGCGCCCGGATCTTGGCTCTCGGGAAG